ACACACACACACACACACACACACACACACACACACACACACACACACGTACGTTCATACACAGACTCACAACAAAGTGAGTCAGTTCCTGACTGCTTTTGCTTCCAACTTCGGCTTACCCATGTCTCTCATCTTGGGCACCTTGAATCAGCTGTCTCTGCCCCTTACGGCCAAATGAGCCTTGACAACATCAATGAAGTCTGATGAACTTTTGCTCAATATTGTGACACTATGGATAATAGTATTACAGTAACCAAGCTAAGTTTACTAGAGAATATCCAATGTAATTGTTACCCTCCCACTACAATTTCCCAACCATAAAACTGTCTTAATGCCTTGACATTAGTCTGTAATTAAAAAACCACTGGAAATTGTTCTCTACCTTGTTACCAATGTCCATTAAAAAAACAGATGCCACTAATATCAGAACTCAGAGGTTCTTATTATATAGTCCTTTATTATTAATTCATTTTAATGAATACTTTATGGAACTAAAAAGTTGTTATGTATGACACAAAAATAGGCTATAATGAAGTTTTGTGCTGAATATGTAATCTGGAAACCACAAGACATTTGTGTTTCATTCTCATAGCGTGCTGGTTGCCATTAAATTACTCTTGGTAGGGAATGCCATGTTCTGATGGCAGCTGAATATAGAATTCTATCTTCTTTGTGGTAAGGAGGAAGAAGTGTGTTTGAGAGCATTTACATATGTATCTTACTTCTCATTTGTGTGGTTGCTTCTGTCTTTAGAATATGGTTTGGCAAGGGGGTATAATAAAACTTTTATTTTGGCAAGTGTAAGATATCACTCATAAGTAAGGCAGATCTTCCCAAAAAAGTTGCTATACAAAATTCAAAGCATCAGTGTCTATTCACACATTTCTCTTAGACAGTACGTTTCTCTTCTTTTGTTAGCTTTCCACGCGTTTGTCATCATTGTTCTTTCCTTCTTCTGTCATCTTTTCAGCTGTCCTAGAAGTGGCGGGTGACTTAGATCATGGTGAAACATAATACCATCTGTAAACACAAGAAGGTAAATACCTCTTGGGGATATGCTACATGAGGTCCAGTGGATAATGGGCATTCATGCATGTTATTAATGTCCATGTATTTGACCATCTTTGGGCTATTGTCTTAGCCCCTCCAACGAACACACACACGCCCCAACCATCTTTTAATTGAATTAGAACCTGCATTGTTTGTTCAGGCAATAAAAAAGAAGTTCTCAGGGTAGGGTAATTCTAATGGTAAATTTTTTTCCTTTAGAGTTTTTAACTAGAGTAGGCACAGGGCTAGAGGCAGCCATTGTACTGTGAAGAGATAGCATTTGTCTCCTTAGCACTATGGGAATGCCATGAAAGGGTCCATGACCCAGAACCCATCTTGCTTTAATAATGGCTTCACATTCATAAAAGATTTTTAATGGCTACATGAGACATATATAAATATTAAACGCCATTCCTCTTTGTTGATTCACAAGCCCCAGTGAACAGGACTGCTTCGTTGCTTCCAAAGTTAAAGAAATGTGCCTGGCTTCTCACGCCAGTGAGTGAACCCAACAAACCCACACATGGAAACAACTCCGCCGTGCACTGCTAACCCATTTGCAAACCTGAGAATGGCAAGTCTTCAGCTCATGTCAGCTGCCTTGAGTTCTCTGACTCAGAAACAAAATTTTTATCTGTTATGTATCTGTTCCAAATCCTGCTCTAGGCAAATTAGGAAAACATGGTCACATATATGTAATGAGACATTTTCCCCAAACACAGCTTTATGGTGTTCATCATAACTTAGTTCATTTGCCTTGGTCCCCCAGTCATAGCATTGCAACTGCAGAGATAGACTATACCCCTATGCAAAAGAGCATTTGGCGCCTATATTTAAATTTGGACATACCAGTGCTCACTAGTTCATCTGTATATTTAGATTTCAGTAAGAACTCAGGATCCTGGTAAGGCCATTGCTCTTTTCCCAAGGCCTTGTGATGGAGTATAACATTACATGAAAACCGATGCTGTTTGTTTAATCAGAGCCCCACAAGGTTAGCACCTAGCATCCCATTACTTAATTGTATGATGATCCTGTGTGGATGACAAGACCCCAAATAACTGTGTTTGCCTTTCTTTTCTTGCCTCTTCTGTTATGGATGTCAGGTCTATACCATTTAGAGTTGCCTTTATTTACAAAAGGGAAAATTTAGTTACAGACTTCCTGTCCTGAGAACTGCCTGGGGAAAATGACAGTAGAAAGGTGTCCTCAAGGAGAGAGCCAGAATGTGTGAGCCCAGAAGCACTTGGGGTTTGGCAAGCTTTGTGTTCATTTTTTAAATACTTGGGGTTCAGCAGAGCCCAAAATATATTTTGCTCAAAGTACCATTTTCCTTTCATTTTCCAAAACCATGTATATTCTAGGGAAGTCTAATCTGTGTATTTTGGAATCGTTTAACTCTCATTCATCAAAATATTGCATGGTAAATACTAGATCTGGGTTCAAGAAATCTCTTGAGCTCTTTGATAAGCAATTTTTTTCTTCGAACCCGAAAGTAAAAATTCTCTTTGAATGAACTCAGAGAAGTACAGAGTATTCTCAAATCATCTCCCAGATAGGATGGGAAGATTTCCATGTGTCTAGTAGAAAGCCACAATGGGAACAAGGCTTTTTGCGGGCAAGACCTTCAGATACAGGCCTTGGACATTTATGGGCTTCTCCATTGAGGACTTCTAGCACCCCATTTGGCTCAGTCCAGCTTAAATCTTTTCTGTTGCAACCACATCCCCAAGTTAGTCCCAGCCCGGGTCTTCTGAAGTGCTTCTGAACCCTACAATCTTGTCTTTATTTCAAATTACATTTTACTCATTGTGAGGATTTATACGTGAATTTTTCTTTTAAAGTACAGTATTGAAATATTATTTGATTACTGAGTTTTTTGGTGCCCTCTTAAGCTTTGTGCC